CATTGACTTCTCACTCACAGTCTAGAGGCTTGGCTGCCCCTTGGCCAGGCTAGACTGAATTCCCTGCTCTGAAAACTGGGCTGCAGGCTGTGTGGAGGTTTGTTCCAGATTATCTTTTATCTTCTTGGGTCAGGATTACCCAGGGAATGTTCTTTTAATATTGAATGGCAGAGACTTAGGTATTGGCCCAGAATGCACACACAGACATTTCCATCCATGTTCCATTAGCCAAAGCAAGTCAAATGACCCATCCCCACATCAGTGGGGCAGGAAAGAACTTTACAATCAGAAGACAAAGGAACTTGTTGAGTTATTTGAATACAGGGAAGGAATGACAAATTGGAAAATGGTTTATTCTACCAGAAATATTTTACAAAAAGGAACTTATATTAAAAAATATATATTTTAAATATAATTAATACCTTCTACTTGCATTCTTAAATCACCTCTAAAAAACCCATGTGTCTATTAAGCACTTGTAATATGATTAATTTAAGATATACTGTAAGTATAAAATTCATACCAGATTTTGATAATAGTATAAAATAATGTAAAGTAACTCTTAATAATCTTTGTATATAAAAATATTGCCACTAACCTCTTAAACCAGAGTCTGAGCCATGACATATTCATGTGGGTAAAGAAAATACTCTCTCTCCTCCCTACAAAACTCCTGCTTCCTTCAAAGGAATAATATAACTTTATTTTATACCAGGTCATAAGAATAAAAAATATCAGAATGGAAATTCTCATCATACTCAATAAACATTTTCCTAAATGTTTATCTAAATTTTTGGTAAATTCATGCTTGTGAATGAAAAAAAACTCTAATCTAAAAATATGATTCATTTCTTCCATTCAACAAATATTTATTGAGCTCCTTCTGTGTGTTATGTATTATTTTAGGTTCCAGGGATATAGGGATAATTAAGACAGATAAAAATCTGTGCCCTTGTGGAGGTCATAATAAACAAATGCATAAATAAATACATAACATAATGATGACTAGTGTAAAGAAAAACAAAACAGGGAATAGAAGGAAGTCAGGAAAGGCCTTTCTAAGGAGACGTTGAAAGAGAAAGTGACATAAAGTGACCATGGGATCCCTGGGAAAGCATCCATGGTGGAAGAGACAGCAGATATAAAGGCCCTGAGGTGAAAACAATCAAGAAATCCGGTGTGGCTCTGGCAGAATGTTTGAGTGGGAAAGAGAAAGGGGGCAGATCAAATAAGATCTTCAAAGCCTTGTAGGGATTTTGATTTTATTCTACAGGGACAGAGAAGGTGTCAGAACTGTATTGTCCAATAGGGTAGCCACCAACCCATGTAGCTACTGAGCACTTGGAAAATGGCTAAACCAAACTGAGATGTGCTGTAGATATGAAATTTCAATGTTTTAGGGTGAGATTTTAATGGTTTAGTGTGAGGGAAAAAAATGAATGATAAATACCTCGGTAATATTTTTCTTTTAACATTGAAATTAATATTGTAGACATATTGGGCAAAATAAAACATTGAAAAATTAATTTCACCTATTTTCATTTCTAAATATGACTATTAGGAAATTTTAAATCACATATGTGGCTCACATTATATTTGTATTAGGGAGTATTGCATTTGGAGGGGTTTGAGCAAGAAAGGTCTTGAACTTCTAAAAACTGCTCCTGGGAAAAGCCAGCAACAAAAAAGTATGTATTATATGAGTCTGTTGATGTAAAATACAAAAGCAGCCAGAACTAAGCAATAATATTAGCACTCTGGATAGAGTTGACACTTGTGGAGAGACTAGAAGGGACCGTCAGAGGGGATTTCTGGGTTCTGGTAAGGTCTCATGTATGACCCGGGGGTCTGATTAGTGTTTGAACACCCCATGAATTGTACATTTATCATATGTGCACTTTTAATATGTATGTTATACTTAATTTTTAAAAGTTAAAATGATATCCATACATATATAAACCAAAAATTTAAAAGGAAAAAAATATACTTGAGTATTTAAATTGATACAGTTCAGATAATGCAACTTACTTGAGTGGGGATGGTGGGTGCTAAGTGGCTTATCATCTTCAACAAAGGCTTTGCACCATATACCCACTTAATATCCATATTCAATTGCTGTAAAGAGAAACTATAGACATGAGTTTCTGGTTTGAAAAGCAATGGGGAGATGAATAATATATAACACCTTTATGCATGTCAACATTTTCTAAAATGGATGTATTAGATTCATCAATGGGATTGTTGGAGAAAATAAGCTGACTTTAAAAAAATGTGCCCTAAATCATTTTAAATTTCTAATACTTTTGCAAATTATAATAAAAAATAACTTAAATAAAGGAATTTTTAAAAAAATTGCTCTGGGTAGATGTGGGTTATTAAACTACTTGTTTATTTTTGCATGCAGTTAAGTTTTTCTACAACATAAAGTTAAATTTTCCTTTAATATATGGACTAACATGTTAAAGACCACCTCTTCCTCCCTCACCAGCTTTTCAACAATGGGAAAAGATATACCGAGTTGCAATCACCTTCCCCTTTCCTAAGAGTGCTCCAGCCTGGATTCTGAAATGGTCCCGAATCAGTCCTGATTTCAGAGAACTGTTCTGATAACACACGAATCCTGCCTATGGGATACAGCTTCTTTATTATGTACAGTGTTGCTCAAATCCTAAAAGGTCAGGAACTAAGGAATTCTACAACAGAAGTAATTAATTACTATGTCAATTTTTGTCTCCCAAAAATAATCCTCAAAAAAAATCAGAATAAAATAAAGATAGCAATAATAATGAAAGCTAAATAAAAACATGTACTCAACATGAATAAAAGGGAACATGCAAACTTAAAATTCATATAAGTAAAAATAGAAATAAACAAACCTGGAATCCCAGCAAGCTACCCTGTGCCCTGCTGCCCCAAGCACTATCTGAGGAAGACTGCATAAAGAGAGAAGAAAGGCAAAGGCCATAAATTGATCAAAAACTATAAAAGAGAAAGTCTGCTCCACATGCAGAAATGCTGAAAAAGCAGTTTCATTGATCAGAGCAGAACATGGAAGAGATGTGAAAGTGTGTGTGGGCCTCAAGGTGACCGCTTTGGAAGGGAACACTTGTAGGAAGAGCTGAGTAATTGGAGGGGAGATGCACCTTCGGGAAATTGCTCAGCACAGGGGGAGAACAAGAGCAGATAAGTGAGGATCCTTAAAGAAAAAGAATATCAAAAAGTCAAAAGCACAACTGTTCTTCACAATGTCCCCCATACCCCACTACCCCCAGCGGTAAAGAAATTATCCACACCTTGCTACACTAACAGTAGAGGGAGCTCTTGAACTAGGAATCTTATAAACCACCTGGAATTACCATCCCTACCCACAGACATACAGAAATGCAGGCAATCTTTGTTTGGGTAAAAAAAAATACCATAAAATGAGAATTAAAAATTTCATTCTGATGACGAAAGTTACCCCCACGGCCTAGTCAGGACTGAGTTCCCCTGGAAGACTTCATTCAGGGGTCAGGGCTGTTCTGCTAAATCACGCTGCTAGGATAAATATTTGCCCATGAGGTCACGGGCACAGAAACAGCAAATGAAAGCAAAGAGGCTAGTTAGAAGGCCAAGACAGGGAGATGGCTGTGGATTGCCCTAGTAGAAGTGGTGAAAATAGTCAAGGCACATTTTAAAGGTGCACTAAATTTATTGATGGACTGAATATATGTGGAGAATATGTCCTAGGGCTTTGATCTGGACAGCTAAAAGAATGTTAAATACTATGCATTGAGATAGTACTGTGAGTATAGATGAGAATCAAGAATTCGTAATGTTAAGTTTCAGGTGGCTTCCTTTAAATTGTGTGGATTTTTGAATGCTATCATAGATTATAAGATTATATTGTTCTTTTTAATATCGATTTCCAATTTTCTAGTTCTGGTATTTAGAATTATACTTTTTAAAAATATTAACCTGGTGTACTGTTAACTTACTAAACTTACTTATTAGGCCTAGTACAATTTTGATAGATTCCTGAGAATTTTCTATCTAATTTTCTATGAGTAAAAAGCAGTTTTATTTGTCCTGTTTAATCTATATGACTTTTCTTTTTCTTGTCTTATTTCACTGGCTAGGACCTTCAATATAATATTGAACTAGAGTCCTGGGGATGTGTATGCATGCCTTGTTTCCCATCTTAAAGGGAAAACATTCGCTACAATACACCTACAGATTTTGTGTAGATGTCCTTTATCGGGTTGAGCAAGTTTTCTTCTGTGTTAGTTTGGCTTCTCAAAGAAGCAGGTATGAAGTTGGGATTGAATATACAAGATGTACTGGGGCAAATACCTGTGAAGGATAAAAGAGGGAGGAAGTGGAATGTTCAGAAGACRTTTTACACCTGTTGCAGGTCTGATGGCTATGAAGGAGAGTAGGAAGTCATGGTGGCTAACCTGCTGGTATAAACCAGACTTCACATGTCCACCTGCCAATTAGGATCCAAAGAATTATTCTTCTTGCTTGCTTGCTATTCTCTGGGCAACACAAGTCTAGAGTGCCCTAGGGACACTGTACATCTTAGATCAATGTGGCTTGGGCTGCATCCTTTGGTAAGAATATGCCATTTTTGCTTATCAGAATCCTGGGAGATCCAAACATGTAGGGATGGGAATCACAAAACCACAGTGGGGAAGTAGAGTTAGAAATTCAAAGGTGAGGGTAGGTATATTGGCTGTGGGAGCAAGAGTTCATGCTGGTAAGAACATGCATGGCCTCTATCTCTGACACCATGATCATTCTATTACTGTTTGAATCATGCAAGTTCAGGGGAGACCAATATTGAAGTTGATGTCAGTTAGTCAAGGCATTTTATCTACAAACGGAGGCTTTTAAAAATTAATGCTTCAGGTGTACTTTATTTCTTCAATATGTCATACTTAATAGATATACAGTGCTTTTAGTTGGCACCAATTATGAGTTGGTTTTGAAATTCACTATTACATCAGCTGGCATGATGATTAATGTTTCCATTCCTTTGGGGTGACTCTGCCAACAGGTGACAAGATCCATTCTTTTCCAATTTGTGTTGTTTCATATGTCCATACAGTAATATAGAAAGTGGCTCCACTAGTTAATACAGCATTACCATAGTTGTCATGGAAATCAGATGCATGTTTCTCGTGACTCTGCCTTGCCATTTTTTGCTGAATGCTTAGAACTTTGAGATAAATTACTGCATTTTTTTGCAAGGGAAATATTGTGGAACTGAAAAGAGAACTGCAGCAACTGAAGCTGCTGCTTTGGTGCAAATTCACTCCAGATACCTTTTGAATTGAGACTTTTTAACCAATCTCTGATACAAAAATCTTCACCCTTCATGCCTATTCTCCTATGTTCATCCATATGTCTTTTTCCTAGACCTCTTATCTTCCAGCCTTTCCCTTACAGATCTCTGAACAAATGGTCAGGCCATTGCCTGCTGGCCAGGGATATGGCTATATTTTCATCATGAGCCATGTCTCCATGCAAAATGTGAATGGCCAGGAGCACCACTCACAGCTCTGTCCACTTCTACTTCAGCTGATTAGATGAACACCTGCTCCACATGAATATAATTGCAAGTTGAAAATGAGGAGCTCTGTGTCAGTGTCAGGGTTATCTTCTCATGGCCAGCCTATTTATACCTTCTGGTCACACTTGAGTTTTATTCCAGATGTATCATTTCTATCTTATGATGGACTACTGTTGGAAATGTTGGACTTCATCACTTGGTGTGTTCAATACAATACAGATGATAATAGATACTTGGTAACTTGATACTCCATGGAAAAGTGATTCTGCCATGTTGCCAGACCCTAGTATAGACAAAAATTTGACTATAAGGCATAAAGTTGGAATGTTCTCCATCCTCCTTTGTTTCCTAGAAGAATTTATGTGGTCTTGGTAATTCTTCCTTTAGTGTCAATATGAAAGACCCCAGCCCAACAACCTCAGGCCTAGTTGCAAAACCACCGAGGCATGTCACAAACCTACGAAGGCACCAGAGGTGTTTTTCAGACAATCAGTTAGGTGTAACCGGTTGAGAAAGCACAAAGGACCAGGTCCTAAGGCATGCCTGAATGAGCAGCAACAGGAGGACCAGAGTGCTAACATGTAACTTTTATGTGGCTTTTCCAGTAACATAAAGTGAAAAACAACTTTGCCCTTTAGGTAGCCTATATGCTGGGTTTAAAATTAACCAATAAGAAACCTATTGTTTCCCCCGTGTGAAGACTGCCCCTTTACCCTATAAAAATCTCTGTATCCCCCAAGCCCGGTGTGTGCCAGCTCACCAAAGCTCCGGCTGAGGTTCTGCTGGGCACCCGCAGGCGCCTGTGTCCCAATAAATCCCTCTTGCTTTTTGCAGCCAGTGTTTCGTGTGATTCTCCTTGGACAGGGAATCGGGAGTCTTTTCAAATAGAATTCATCAGTGAAGACAACTAGACCCAGCATTTCATTGTTAAAACGTTTTCATTGTGAACTCAATGTTTTTAATATATATAAGATAGTTCATATTTTCTATTTCTTCTTGTAAGTTTTCATAATTAAGGTCTTTCAAGGAACTTGTCCACTTCTAAATCATTGGAGTTGCTGACAGAAAGTTGAGCATAATGTTTCCTTATTTGCTTTCTCATGTCTGTAGGATCTATAGTGATGTTCTTTCTTTCAGTCTTGATATGGATAATTTGGGTTTTCTCTTTTCTCTTTTACACATACTCACACATACATTGTGTGTGTGTGTGTGTGTGTGTGTGTTCATTTCTTCTGGTAAAGTTTTCTTTGGCTTAATATATCCTATAGAGCAGGTGTATTGGTAAAATATCATCTCATCTTGATTGAAAATCTTCATTTCAAAACAAATTTTCCAAAACAAGCATAGAATTCTATTTTCTTTTTGCACTTTAAAGATATCATCCTATTGTCTTTTGACTCACATAACTTGTGAAAAGTAGTCTTCAGTATTTTTTATTCTTTCCTCTAAACACATTACAATTGCCCCTCAATGCTTTAAAAATTTTCTCTCTTTGTGTTTTAGAAGTTTGGTTATAATATGTTTTATCTTCTTTTCTTTGTGTTTAGTCTTCTTGGAGTTAGTTGAATATCTTGGATCAATAGATTTATAGTTCTTTATCAAATTTCAAAATGTTTGAGCATTATTTTTTATTAAACAATCTTTTTATTTTTAGTAGTTTCTAGAAGCATTAAGCAAATAATTTATTGAACAGTCCATAACAAAAAAATGTTTTTTAAAAGTGAAAATATTCCAAACATTTTGTCTGGAAATGATTTTTTTGCATGTGATACAGGGGATAGAACTCAGGGGTGCTCTACCTCAGAGCTGCATCCTCAGCCCTTTTTATTTTTTGAGAGAGACAAGAATCTTAATAATTTGCTTAGACTGGACTCTAACTTGTGATCTTCCTGCCTCTGCCTACCTAGTCACTGGGATTACAGGGGTGTGCCACCATGCTTGGACCCCTGGTCACTTTATTTTTTCTTTTTTTAGTTTTTGGGCATTATTTATTTTTATTTTTAGTTATACATGACAGTATATTTCCAATATTTGTATGATCATGAAGTGTGTCTTATTCTAATTAGGATCCAAGGGAATTAAAATCAGCATATTACAGTGACACAGCCACATCAATATTTATAGCAGTACAATTTACAAAAGCTAAGCTAGGTCCCCTTCAACAGATGAATGGGTTAAGAAAAATGTGGTATGTATACACAATGGAATATTGCTCAGACATAAAAATGACTTTATGACATTTGCCAATGGATGGATCTGGAAACAATCATGCTAAGTGAAATAAGCCAATCTCAAAAAACCAAAGGTCAAATGTTCTCTCTGATATGTGTGTGCTAACACACAACAAGGTGTGCAGATGGAAAACAGAAGCTCAGTGTGTGTGTGTGTGTGTGTGTGTGTGTGTGTGTGTGTATTTAAACCTGAAGAACAAGTTATATTTAAAGTCAAGTGAGAGAGATATTTCAAGAGGACCGAGGTGATCCCCTTCCCTTAGAGGCAGAAAGACCACTAATCCTGCGCGTAAGCAGAGTGGAAATGATTAGTAATCCAGAAAGCATATTTCCAATTAAATGGGAAGGGAAGAGCTGTGAGGAAGCGGGAGAAGTCATCAATTTTTGCCATGAAGCAGGAAAGATACCCAAAAAAGAATATAGCAAGTAGAATGAGTTTTTTAGACAGGTGTAAATTTTCCCATAGATTTTTGGACCTCATTTTCCAAAGACATTTGATCATCACTTTTCTTGAGTTCCATAACTGCAAATTTGCCCACAGTTTTCCCTCTATTCTTATCTTTCTGTTGACATCTATGTGAAATTCCTAAATCAATACTCATGACACTTTTGCAGAGAAAAAAAAAAAAAAAACAACAACTGAGTGACCTAATGCATACATTCCAAGCTGAGGTGAACAAGCAATGCTTTGCCTTCTTGTTTCAGTTCTGAGACTGTAAACAAATGTCTTTTCATGGTCTATTTAGTGTCATGTTTCTCACATTTCTGTGCCTTTGTTGGTGATTTCACTGTTTCAAATGTCCCTCAAGTGTGGTGCTGAAGTGCTGTGTAGTTTTTCTAAAGATAAAAAGGCTGTGATGAATCTTATGGAGAAAATGTTAGAGAAGCTTCATTCAGGTATGAGTTATAGTGCTGTGGGCCACAGATTTCGATGTTAATAAACCAATAATATATATTAAATAAAACATCTTTAAACAGAAACACACAAAAAACAAGGTTACGTTTTGACTAGTTGACAAAAATATTGTGACCAGAGTGCTTGCAGGACCCTAAACCTGCATTCCCCAYGGGAGAAATGGTTCAATTGTTCATAACTCATTGTACAAAACTTTATAGAACACAACTATTGCAAATCAACTGTATAAACATTTTTTTTAAAAGAACGCATGATATAGTAGAAAAAAACACTGGGCCAAAAATTTTGAGACCTCAGTTCTAGTTCTAATTCTTCTAGTAATTAGCCTTCTATCTTCCAGCAGGTATTCTGGCCTCACATGGTTTCTTCATCTATGAGTGTAGCTCTTTAAATCAGATTATTGCTAAGGCTCTTGAAGCCCTAGCATTCTATGACCTTGAATCATCAGTAATGGAAATTCCCAGTAATAGTTTCTTCCTAAGAAAGTCTCCTCTTTGCTTTATAGACAACCGCCCTGCTCCATCTGAGATTAAGCACCATGTTCTATAGAGTGCTACAAAGATGAAATAACATACACTGATTAAAAAAAAAAAAACTGGGAAGTTTTCCCAGGAAAGAGTTGCTTACAACTTTGGAAGTCATATCAAAATAACCCCCACAAGTTAACAGTACATGTCACATTAAGAAATAGATATTAATGAGAGATTTTAAAAGAAAACAGCCACAGTAGGTTTAAACAGGGTGCAGTCTCCTGATGACAGCTTTGAATACAGAGTGCCAAAATGCAGCCAGACTGAGTGAGGTATGGGCGCATTACTAAAAATACAAGGAATAAAGAGAGTACGGTCAGGTGGCAACCTGAATTCACACTCAGGGTTTTTAATATCAGAAGCAAGAAAGTCATTTACAACTCTTAGCTAAAGGATGAGGCTCTCTGAAGTGTTAAGAATACAGGRCCATATGTGTAATGACAGAAGGTGACTATCTTATGTGGAGTGTGAGGGGGCAGGGAGGGGATTGAAACATGAAATGAATTCTCTGTATAATTTGGTTTTTTTCTTTATTAGAAAAACATTTATTAATAGTAACTTGAAAATTGGGAGTAGAATTTTTKGGGGAAAAAAATCATTTTTCCCTCAGCAGTCTTTGGTATGGACTTTTAATATTGGGTTGTTGGGGGTCTACATTCCATCACGGTCTTTGTACAGGATTATGCTGTTTTGTAACTCTGAAAATGAGGGTTGCCAACTGGTTTGTATTAGTCATAGTCCTGACAGGAAATAGATGGCAAAAATAAAATTTAAATTATCCTCRGAGGGATATTAAAGGGACTTATGAAAATAGGGTATGGGAAATGACAAGGGATAGTGTGGTCCCCTGGGACTAGTAACAGTGGTGCTTTTACCACCCATGGATAGAAGGGACCTGAAAAGGGTTGGGTTTCCAGATTGTGGGTTTCTAGATCCCAGAATTAGAGTCATGATGATAAGGTGACCTTGAGAAGAGCAGTGATACTCGGTCTGTAGGAAGAGAACTAAGTTAACCAATACCTCAATCATCTGATGGCTTGTCTGCATTCCCCATGGAACAACCAGAAGCTAGAGA